AGCAGCCTTAGCGTCTCATGCCCGTCTCTGGGGTCCGCACTGTTAGCTGCGGCTCGTGCCCGTCTCTGGAGCTCCTTTAACCTCTTAATCCCCTCTCCTCGCGCACCCGGAAACAAAGAGGGAAGAAAAAGTCTCTTGCCTCTTCGGCAGGTCCAGGCTTTTCCCCGGACTCCCTCCTGGCTAGCCGTGGAGCACTAGCCCCCTGCAGGCTGTGTTCACGCTGCCAACCTCAGTCCTCTCCCTGTGCTCCGACCAAAGCCCGAGCCTCAGCTCCCAGCCCTGCCCGCCCCAGCGGGTGAGCAGACAAGCCTCTCGGGGTGGTGAGTGCCAGTCGGCACTGATCCTCTGTGCGGGAATCTCTCCGCTTTGCCCTCCGCACCCCTGTTGCTGTGCTCTCCTCCATGGCTCCGAAGCTTCCCCCCTGCCACCCGCAGTCTCCGCACGCGAAGGGGCTTCCTAGTGGGTGGACTTTTCCTCCTTCACAGCTCCCTCCCACTGGTGCAGGTCCCGTCCCTATTCTTTTGTCTCTGTTTATTCTTTTTTCTTTTGCCCTACCCAGGTACGTGGGGGAGTTTCTTGCCTTTTGGGAGGTCTGAGGTCTTCTACCAGCGTTCAGTAGGTGTTCTGTAGGAGTTGTTCCACATGTAGATGTATTTCTGATGTATCTGTGGGGAGGAAGGTGATCTCCGTGTCTTACTCTTCCGCCATCTTCCCCCTCTCTCCTATGCGTTGTTTTATATTTCATTTTCATGAAAGAATACCTCTGAACAAACAGGATAATTGGTCAATTATCCAGATTTTTCTAAACATTGAATGGTTGGTCTCATTACATCTAAATTATTCATTTAATGTTTTTCTTTTCTGATAATAGTCAATATGTAAAAAAACATCAAATACGTCTGTGAACAGGTTAAATAATTTGTTAAAAAATAATATGCTGAACTAGACAATCATGCATTTCTTAGATTATTTTCTGATAACTTCGTAATGATAAATTTTAATAACACTGAATTTTTTCATGAAAAATGAACATTTCATGAAAATAAACGTTGAAAAAATAGACCACCGTTAGATTTACTACCTGAAGGGATTCCCTGAAATTTTTCAAGTTCAAAAGGGCAAAGAACATGCTTATTACCACTGTAAAATGGAAACACGTTACTTTGGAAAGTGGGTATTTTAAGCATCAGCAACACATTAAAATACTTATATATCAACTATAATGAATTTCTATATATCTCAAAAATCTTGATTTTTTTTTGTTTAGAGCAACTTATACTTGGTCATTTTGCAAAATATTGATAATGATTCTGTGGACTTTGTGAAGCTGGTGCTGCTTTAGAGAAAATGAAAGCTAAAATAGAAAAATGAGTTCAAGTAAGCTTTCAGACTTTTTTGTTTAGTATATATAGAACTATACATTGATTGAAATGAGCTTTAAGTGTCATATATTAAAAATCAAAAGACATGTTTTGAAAAATAAATGTTGCATTTCTTTTATTTTTACACTTTTCTTCAAACCCAGTTCCATTGGACTCTCTTAAAACTTACTTTTTCTCTGAGAATCTGTTCAATTCTTTTATACTGTATTTATTAGCCCACTCCAACATACAGAGATCTCTTTAACCCCAAAATTCATTATATTTACTGCAATATACCACTCATTTAATAGTTTTTGTCTCCTCATAATATTTATTATATGTTGTTTGACTATTTTATTTTCCTCTTTTTTTTAATGATAGTTTAAGTATTTCCATGGTAAAGTTTAGATTTTACCATTCTTTTAATCTTCTGTAGCACTTTTCAGAGGTAGTTCTCCAGTAATTAGTGGTGGTGGAGGAAGAAATTACAATAATTATAAATTCTTGTACCTGTAATATTGCAATTTTCTGAGGATTTTTGGGCTTCCATGTCAAACAAATTTCCTTCAGACGTACTTCGTGAAATTCCTCCTGACCAAAAATGGGCTTTTTCACTGGTTAACATTATTCCACCTACAAAGTAAATATAATATATATGTGTACATATATATATATATATATTTCTTGTAAGAATACATAAACAGGTTGGCATAGAAACCAAACTCAAAGTAATCTACATATTTAAATAGAAAACTGCACATAAAAACACTCTGCATAGGTCCTCTACTTCTGATAGGATGCTAGATAGGATGCTCCATTGAAAAACCCTCAGATCCTGGATTAATACCAACAAGCAAACCTAGAAATACATTAGTGATTCTATAAAAAAAAGTAATAATGAAAATCCCAAGGATAACAAAAAGAATAGTAAGTTGAAACTTCAATAAATAGGCATTACTTGTTTGGTGATTGGAAGTCTAAAAATCACAAAACGAAATTCTCCCCAAATCCTTCTATACATTTAATGCAGTTCAAGAAAAATCATATATTATGTATATGTGTTTGTAACTTAGGCTTTTTAAAAATTATGTAGAAAAGCAAAGACAAACCAGAAGAAGAACATGATAGAAGTTATGTGTGCCGCCAGATATCAGTATTTATTATAATTTGTGCTAAGTAAGACAATGTGGATTTGGAACAGAAATAGACTAAGGACACACAATACCCCTAGAAATAGACCCACTCTCACATGAAAACTGAATATATGGCAGAGGTAGCCAGGCAGAGCAGTGTGGAAATAGATTATTCAGTCAACAGTGATGGTACAATTGGTTGTCCATGCTGAAAAAACTCACATTGATCATATACAGAAATCTGTTCTAAGAGATTTAAAGACTGAAAAACAAAACTTTAAAACTTAAAAATAGAGTCTAAGGAATTATCTTTATGCTTTCTGGAAACAGAGAATTTCTTAAGCAGAGCACACACACAAAATGCAAACCATAAAAAAAAAAAGAGAAATCCTACATATCAAAGGACATTGTTTACAAAAAGTAAAAACACAAGCTCAAAACTGGGAGAAGATATTTGCATTACATATGACTGAAGAAGAAAAAAGGATTGTATCCTAAAATACATCAAAGACTCCTACAAATTAATAAGCAAGATAAAAACAACATTACAGAAAAATTTGAAAAGAGATCTGAATAAGCATTTCTTATAAAAAGTAAACACAAATGATCCCTAAGTATATTAAAATATGCTCAATTTATCAGTAATCAGGGAAATGCTAAATGATACCGCATGAGATACAATTATCAACCATCAAATTTGCAAAAGTTTTAAAATCTGGCAACACTAATTATTGGCAAAGATGAGGAGCAAAGGGAGCTTTTATACACTACTAGTGGAAGTGTCAATAAGTACAGCCACTTAGAAATCAATCTGGTATTATCTAGGAAAGGTGCTTACAGCCCAGTACTCAGCAATTTCAATTCCAGTTATTTGTTCTAGTAAAACCTTCCATATGTGCATCAGAAGATATATACAAGAATGTTCATTACATATTTTAAAAAATGGGAATCAATCAAAATATCCTTTGCCATATGAATGGATAAATTGTGGTGTTTTAATACACTGGAGTACCATGCAACTATGAAAACAGATGGATTACCAGTAAAAGTATCCATATGTACTAACTGTAGATATGGCATTGCTGAGCTTCAGTCTTCTTTACATATATGTTTTCTCTGAGCCCTATGACAACACTGAAAAATGCGTATGTTAAATCGGATTTCATAGAGTACAAAAATGAATCTCAACAATATGACGTAAGTAACCTACAAGGTCAAATAGCTGGTGAGTGACTGACCAGCCATAATTACTCATGCACATTACAGCTACACCATATAGCCCATAATCAGGTTGCCATATACCCCTTCTCAGACTCAAGGTTCCCAAGAGTACATTCTGAGACTATCCCACCTTGCATTTCCAGTTTCCAGTCATGCTGAACCTTATTTCTTGTCGTCCTTCATCTGTTAATCACACCTCCTTCATCTTTGACTTGTCTTTTTAGCCATACATTTCTTTCAAGTTCTTGACATTTTATTTCAAAGCAGTTTATTTTTTTAGAGAAATCAAAAGCCTTTTCTGGTATAAAAAAAGAAAGAACAAATTGAAGAGGAGAGGGGAGGAGAAGGGAGGAAGGAAAAGAAAAAGAAAGAGAAAGAAAGGAACCGAAAGAGAGGTAATGTTTTCCAAACATGGTGGATAAACAAATGCAAAAATTATCTCATAAAAAAAAGTCAAATACTGCAATAGCAACTTTTTTCTCTGATAGGTGAAACTACATGGAAAGTTCGGGTGAAAAATAGAGCTTTGCACTATGCATTTTACACTGAACCTCAAGTTTCCTGGCAGATCCTCAAAATTATGTGGTTGATTTTACCATATGTAATGTCCAAAACTAAAGTCTTTAGCACAGAGTAGGTAGCCAAAACTTTGAAACAGGAAAACTAAGTTCACATTCTTCTGCAAAATTAAGCAGATTAAATTAAAATGAGAAAAAATATTTAAATAAAAAAGTATTTTTCAAAAAGATAAAGTACACTTTAAATGGAAAACCAATTTAGACAGAAGTCTACCTAAACTCTTTAATTTCTTGTGGAGAAAAGAGCAGAAAGGAACAATTTATACCTAGGATTCTTTTGAGGCAAATAATCCTTAATATAAAAAATAGTAATTACCCAGTGGAATACAGTGAGAATGTCTCAACCACATAAGAACCAGGAATGATGCCTTATGAAGTTATGCTCCTGGAGAATTATAACATTTCAGAAACAGAGGGACAAGGTGGTTGTTAGCTGGAATTCTTTATGGAGTAGTCCTCTTCTCCAGTCACCCAAGCAGATCTTCACTGTCATTTAAGCCAGTAATTCTAAAATTCAACCCTACCAGAATGACCTGGAGGGTTTGAACAAACACGATACAAAACAGTTTGCTGGAGCCACCCCAGTGTTTCAGATCTAGAAGGTCTGGGGTTGCATCTGAGAATTTGCATTTCTAAGAAAGTGGAAAAGTGATGTGATGCAGTGGTTCTGAGGGGTACATTTTGAGAATCACATTCTAAAAACCACCATGCTAATTTCTTTCCCAAATAGACTTCTCCCTGTTCTCTGGCTATTCCCACTATCCCCCAATGAATCCTTCTTCTCCCAATCTTTTTGTGTATACACACACAGACACACACAGACACACACAGACACACACACACACCTCACTGGACTTTGTCCTAAATCTGGACTTTTCTTTTTTTCTGTGAATACAGGGAAAGGTGGTATAAGAGAAAACCCCTTGACTGGAAGGACTGTGATTCTGACATACAGAGGGCAGCGCATGTTTACACAGGTGCAAATAGCACTAGGCACATTTATCTTTTCCTTGTGTTTTCTTCCAATTAAACTTTATACTCAATTGCAATTGCTGTCTGAAACGGGAATTTTTTAAACCTCATCTAAAGAAGCATGAGTCAGTCTTTGTTGGAATGACTAAGTGGGAAAAGAGCAGTTTACTACCCACTTAACTGGGGACATGTTCTTACTTTTTAGAACACAATTATTCTGATTCTACGTGATCCACTATTTTTTTTCTTAAAGAACCAATGAATAAAGTTTTGATCTTCATTTATTTTACTGTTTAAACTAGGCCTTAAGTGACTGGGAATATTTACCAACTGTATAACTTAGCAAAAGATCCCAGATTCTTTCTGAAGGGGGGTGGTGTTTGCAAGAGTAACCAGGCAAGCAATAACATTTTAAAGAATTATCCCTTTAAAATGTGTTCATTTGAAGTCATTATGGTAGTCATTATACAGTGAAGATTGCTATTTTTAGCCACCCAGTAGGTTCAAAGCATTTTCCAACTAGTCCTTGAATACCTCAGATCTCCGTTATGTTTCTATGATCTGTACTGCATTTAATTCTCGACCTATGTGATATTAAAAATGCTTCCAGGGGCTTCTCTGGTGGCGCAGTGGTTGAGGGTCCGCCTGCCGATGCAGGGGACACGGGTTCGTGCCCCGGTCTGGGAAGATACCACATGCCGCGGAGCGGCTGGGCCTGTGAGCCATGGCCGCTGAGCCTGCACGTCCGGAGCCTGTGCTCCGCAACGGGAGAGGCCACAACAGTGAGAGGCCCGTGTACCGCCAAAAATTTAAAAAAAAAATAGTAACAATGGCTTAGATTTTAAGACTTTGAAGCAAAAATGATAAAAAGTTTAACTCAATGAGAGTGAATTAAAGTGGTGCCCAGCCTCACGCACCATACCTCCTCCAAACAAGGACTTTTTAGATAGGACATTTGGCCAAGGCAAAAGAAAATCAAGTCCTTGGCAAGGTTGGTTCTACTCATCCTGACCTTACCTCATTCTTGCAACATCTTGCCTTTCACCTCAGAGAGCAGAACTATGTAATCAACATTCAAAAAATGGTAAGAAATCTTTCAAAAGTTCAGAGGCTATTCCATGGAGATAGAAGTGTTTAAGAGAATATTATAGACTTCTGATAAATATTCATTGTAAATCACCAATCTTTTAATATTGACCTAAGCATATATAACTGATGATCAATAGACATTTGTTTTATTAATTTGAAGTCCCTTCAGTATGTTCATTTTAAAGATGGATTTCTTTTGTGTGTGGACGCATACAAACACACACACACATAAACTCTTCTTTGGTTTAAAAAAGAATTTGAAAATGCTTACAAATACTCAAACTATGCATTTAACCGACAAGTAAGTGTATGTTATTCTTCAGTAAAAAGTAAAACAAAACAAATAAGTAAATAAATTAGGGTGATACTTGCAGAAAGTTGGTAGGAAAATAAAAATAAATGATTTTACAAACATCAAGCTTTAAGTTCCAGTATATTACTAGCAATAGACCAAAAATTTGGCTCTCCACTTTCTCAGAGACCACAATAAGGAAAACATTACTAGTTACAAGCTACACAGTGAGCATATGGTACAAACAAACCACTTAACAGAAGCACCAACATCACCTGGAGTGGTGAGGAAGGACTGCTGGGAAGGACATCCTTACCCCACCCTTTATCATATGTTCAAC